CCTGCATAACCACTAATTTGCCCACAGTTCCGGAAGTAAATTTTTCTCGGCCAAACGCTTCCTGGCCTTTTTTTCAATTCAATTGAGGAACATGTCCACCAAATATCAGCTAAATCGGACGAGGTCGTAGGCATGAGCTGTCTTTCTTAAATAAATCCACTCACAATGAAGGCAAGGAATAGACTGCTATATATTTGCACTGTGTGTCAAAGAGCAGCCAAAAGAAGGTGGTCCAAATTACCCTGCATGGTCCATATTAGACCATTTGACGGTGGTGTTTCAACCAACCTGTCCACAGTCGGTTAATGCGATACTATGATGACTTCCACATGCTATCTCCACGACTTTTAATGTGCTGAGAAAACTACTAATCATTGTTGGTAAGAGACCAGGTGTTGATGCACCATGCCCTAATTCACAATACACATTCTGCCCCCAAGAATACACTTCCCCTCTTTCAGTAAGTGCGAGAACGTGAGGACCACTCCCATAAGTGAAGCCTGAAAAGAGTGAGAGATAATTATTTGAAAACCAACATGATAAAAATATGATTCATTCAAATATTACCACTTTTTGACTTACTTTGAATACCCTTGCCACAAAGTTGTTCAACACACTGGGGAAACAAAGTTCCCTGTTGATTTCCAAGGCCAAGACAACCATGTCCATTAGACCCCAAGGCATAAACCTCATCATCAATAGTGACCAAAAGAGCTTCATTTCCATGGGTGCCTGAAATCAAATAGAAAAAAGGTTTATGATTTTGACACTGCACCTACATCAAAGATCTAGAATATAACTTCGAATTCAAAATTCAATAGAACTTTACCAAAGACACAAGCCAAGCGCACTTTCTGGCGAAGAGCAGGGGAAAGTAGACTAAAAACCTTCCACCTGTCTAACTCCATGTGAACTGCAGGAAGAGCAGAACAAGAGGGTAAAACACAAGACACAGTCGTAGTTTTTAACTTTGCCCAAAATTGTTGGGGGCTAAGGTTGAAACTAGATTTTAACAGCTGACAAAACGTGTAGATCTATCCATTTGCTTTGTTATCATGATACGTAAAAAACAACTTACTAAACGACTGCCGTCGTTTAGTTGTCATTATTCCTCACAGGCTAGTTCTTAGATCTCAATCTAATAACAGCTACTTAACCTTGCTGAACTTGCCATTCGCTGCAGACTAAGACCTAGACCCTGTCAACTAGCATCAGCTGAGAGATATTTTTAAACAAACAGTGCGCAGCACGCTGCCAGGAACGCGCTACCTATTTTGACGTTTAGAGAAGTGGGGGGCACGGGAGAGGTAGCACTCACTCACAGGTACTCGCGAAACCGCGTTCCGTTCAAAAAGGGAAAGAACGCCGCACTGCGTCTCCTCTAGGATGTCAGCTGCAGATGTCAGAGCAACTGATGAACGCCCACTAAGCTTTAAACAAAATGATGAACAACGAAGTTTGACTCACCCAAATAAAAGCAATGTTTGTTTCGACTGAATAAATACTTTTATCTCGCAGTTTGGGGTGCTTCCTGGGGGATGTGTAAATTATCCAGCTGTTGTGTTTCTGCTATGCCACTTCTTTTGTTTGTGGTCAAAGGTATGAGAAACACCCGGATCCCGCGACGCAGTAATTTCAAACACGATTTGTTGACGATATTGCCTATTTCGTAGTAGTCAGAGCTAATATTCAATTCACCTGCCCCCACTCTTACTGTTTTCAAATGAAAAAACACATTTTGAAAAAAAGAACGACCTCTAGGCCCCACAGCAACGCGATGGATTTTGTACTCTCGCGCTTCTCGTGCAGTTGTCTGTTCGGTTTCAGGGTGTGCAACTAAGTTTTTAGAAAATAGCTTGTCACTTTGCGTTTGTTAACGGCATCGGAACCCGCTGTAATCAAGATATTTTTCATAGGCACTAAGAAAACTGTTAATTTTTTTAATAAAAGAATTTTGTTTCACTTTTCTATCGGTATGCATGGGAGTTGTATTTTTGGGAGGGTTACCTGTGCCGTTTGTTGACCTACTTAACGCGGGAAATGCCGGGCCCAGCAAACAGCAGCAAAGTAGCAAATTGTCTGCTGCGTTGTTGGCGCCTGTTCCAGACGTACTAAACTTTAACCCATGTCTTTGTATAGTTTATTTGATTGTCTGTAGTTGTTGTTTTATTTTTTTTAACAATGGGAATTACTGGCTTACTACCATTTTTGGAGAAGAGTAAAGTTTCTCGACCGATCAATATAAAGGAGTTGAAAGGATGCACGGTCGCTGCAGATGCATATTGCTGGCTCCACAAAGGTGCATTTGCTTGTGCTGACAAGCTTGCTCGGGGAGAAGAGACAGATATGTATGTATTCTTTCCTCTGTTTCTTTTCTAATTTACTATTTTATCTCTTTCATTCAAAATCACCATTCTATGAACGAAATAGAAATGGCATTAACCTGTACCTGTATAAGTTTCTTTGCAATCTTTTTGTAGATCATGAACTTTTTACTCTACTTTGCTTGTGTATTGGTTTTATGTACAAATGAGGTTCTTTCTGATTATTTTACTTATCAAAGAAAGTAATCGGACATTCTAAATCTTGTGTCATTAAATTTCTCAACATTTCTTCAGGTATGTCCAGTACTGCATGAAGTACGTCAATATGCTTCTTGCAAATGAAATTAAGCCAATCCTGGTTTTTGATGGACGGCATTTACCAGCCAAGGCTCAAACTGAGAAAAAGAGAAGAGCGTAAGATTTCTTATATTAATGAGGGTTGTATTATTTGTCTTGCTATATAATACTAAGAATTCAAATTCAAATTTGTTTTTTATCCTCATTTTCAGTAAGAGAGAGGAGAATAGGAAACAAGCAGCAAATCTTCTTCGACAGGGCCATACAACTGAAGCTCTTTCCTTCTTAAGACGTTGTATTGATGTGACACACAAAATGGCCTTAACTCTCATGCAAGAATGCAGGAGAAGAAACATTGACTGCATTGTTGCACCCTATGAGGCTGATGCGCAGCTTGCTTTTTTCAGTCTGGAAGGTATTGTGGACGTTGTCATAACTGAGGATTCAGATCTCCTTTTATTTGGCTGTAAGAAGGTAATATTTTTAATCTAGTTGGCTTTTTAACTTTCTCTAATTCCGGTACAGTATTTAAATGATAAGTTACTTTTCTAGGTACTGTTTAAATTGGACCTTGCTGGTAATGGCATATTGGTGGACCACGAACGTTTGTACATGTCCATGGGAACACGTCCTGAAACTTATTCCTTTGATAAATTCCGATATATGTGTATACTGTCAGGTTGTGACTACTTGGACTCACTGCCAGGTATTGGCCTGGGCAAGGCTTGCAAGTTCATATCTCGCACTCAAGATCCTGATATCCACAAGGTTATTTAGCTGTCTTTTCATTCATCTGATTTTTTGTCTATCTTTTTTTAGTATCACAAATTATTATTTTTTTTTTTTTTTTTTTTACCCTTTTCAGGCATTAAGCAGATTACCCTCACAGCTGAATATCAGAGGTCTTACTGTTTCAATGGATTATAGAGATGAGTTTATGAAAGCACATGCAATGTTTAAGCACCAACTCGTTTTTGATCCCATTTCAAAGACAACCAAGCCTTTAACTCCTCATGGAAATGTCCATCCAGCTTCACCTTTAGCTGCTGGCCCTCTACCTGGTTGTGTGCCAGAATTTGATGAAGAAACTAGTTACCAACTTGCTCTTGGTAATCTTGATCCTTTCAAACTGGAGAAAGTTGATGATTATGATCCAAGTTTACCAAGGAATGAGGTATTTTATTGTATTCCTATTTCATCTTAATTAATTTATGAAAATCTCATGCCACCTAAGAGAGACTACTTTCTTTTACCTTCACAGAAGCAAGGTGTTAAAACAACTGGCTGGAATCAAACTGCTGTGGCTCCTCACCCTAGTATCTGGGATCCCCAATTTATTGCAAAAATGGCATCAATGTGTAAACCAAGAGTAGTGCCTTCATTTATGCCTAGTGAAGGGCGCCCCTCCACCAAAGGTAAAACTAAGGCTTTTGACACAAGTGATATCCTCAAAAAGAATAATAAACGTGCTCTGGAAGAAGGTAATTAATCTCTAATTTTTCCATGTATCTACTTTACTCTTTTCTCATGTAAATTCTTTTATCCTCTTCCATTTATATTCTAGATGATGATTTTGTATGTGTGAAAAGACCTTCCATGGATCCCACAGATAGTAAATTAACTGCTATTTATACCAGCCCAGTTTCTAAAAAGCCGCAAAATGATGATGGACTGTCCCCATTACATGAGCTTGCAAATGCTGATCCACAAGATTCACCGATCTCACCTATTCTCTCTGGAAAAAGGTTCATATTTTTTAATCTGTTACTTAACATATTGAGTGCGGCGGGGGTAAGCAAACCCATGTTATTGGGACCCACGGTGTGGGCCACGCCGCACTCAACGAATTAAACTGCATAGTGCTTGTCTTACTTAGTCATGTTATTTCAGGTCATCAAGAAATCCATTTGCCAGAAGTTCTAGGAAATCAAATGAATCAGAAATTATAAAAGAGGAATCTTCTCTGAGTAGTCCTGCTACCTCTCTCCCTTCAAAAACACCTAGTAAATTTGGTGCCCTAAGTAAATTTGCCCGTGCTACACAAAGAACATCAACAGAAGGAAAACCTATTGTACAAAGCAGGTAAGCTTTGGAACCTTTACAAAGCATGGACATATCCTTTACCGCCTGATTCTTTTAACTTTTAATTTCTGCATCTGAAGGTATTTTGGAAGTATCAATGAATGCTCCAGTGACGATTCCAAAGAGCTTCACAATTCGCCATCACCATCTTTACTGCGAGACGTCTCGAATACAATTGAAGATAGTAATGAGAATGAAAAAGAATTCAGTGTGCTACAGATTTATAAAATGAGTCCTGAGAAGCAATCTAAGACGCCTATGATTCATAGGAAGCCTCTTTTTAGTTCACTCTCTAACTCTCCAAAAAAAGAATGTGAAGATGTTTTCAAGTGTGGATCTGGTACAGCTGATACCTTGAAGAGCATGAATGATCGATTCAAAAAAGAGGTTTGTATTATTTTTCTGTTCCTAATGTTTGAATAGAGAAAAAAAAAACTGGATATAACTGAGATCATCTGCACTATTTTCAGAATGCTGCTCCTCTTTTAAAATCATCTCCAACTAAAAACCCATTCAAGAAAGAAACACCCCCAGAAAACAATCTGATCAAAGTATCTCAAGAAATTGAAGGCGCAAAAGTCAGTCAGAGGGCAAGACTGAACAACCCCTCTGATGTAGAACAAGATGGGGAAGATGTAGATGACCCTGGTTTTGAGTCAAGTACTAGTTTAACACCTTGTAGCCCAAATGAAGTGAGTGAGACGCACTGGAAGCGACAAATCAAGTTGTACTCTGCTTTTTGTCCGTATTCACTCAATGAACGATTTTTCAGGTACCATCCCAACCTGATGATGGGTTTGAAAGTCCCAGTAAGCTACTTCCACATACCATGACATCACCTACCAATTCAGTGAGCAGAAAACCTACTCCCAAAATGAATAAGCCGGCATGTCGCACTCCTGGCCTAAAGAAACCACCACCAGCTGCTCATGGTCAGAGCATGCTCAGTGCCTTTGGTTTTGTTTCTAAGTAAGTAAAACTGTTGCATTTTAGAGGTGGAAGTGCAATGGTTTCAACAAGAAGAAATTAACACAACTTTCTCTTTTTCTAGACCAAAAATTCAACGGACTTGAGCTGCTTTAAGTTACATAAGAGCGATTTTAGATTAATAAACCAAGTTTTATATTGTACTTATTTTTGTAATATTTTTCATATTGCTTGTACCTATTACACATGGACTGATAGGTTGAATTAATGATAAATTTATTTTCAGGGACAAGACCAATTTAAGTTTGATTGATGCATCTTTATGTTTTGTATGATTTCTTAATAGTTTTGTTTTTATTTTGTATCTTAGTGTTTAAGTTACTGACTGGTGGAAAGTTTTCCTCTTCTTGTTTCTACATTCTTTGTTCGCCCTGTAGCTTTTGTCTGTAAATTTTAGCTATTTTCACAAATGTCTGTGATGTTATGATCAAGTTTAAATAAATGACTAATTATTAATTCTGTGCATTCTGATATAATTATGCCTTAATTGGGGGGGGGGGGGGCGGCGTTGGGGAAGAGGACAGTTGGGATGGGGACAAAATGTTACTTGGATCTCGACCGGATCCCGTGTCAGATTACTGAAAACTGTGGTATTCGCTGTATGCGGACGAAGGTGCCGTGTGGTAACTGGTGTCGTAAGCCGAACTGGGGGAGCTGGGCGGGAACTCGACCTGCGGCTCCGTCTGGCGGCTGCAGTTGGGATTCCAATCCGACGAGTCGTCCGAGTACGAGAGCCGTCGTGGTACGACGCCAGCCCGGGGGACGGGGCGCACCCTGGGGTTTGGCCTAGCACGAGGGGCGGGGGTGCTGGCGAGGCTGGCGTCCAGGGGTGCGCGCCCCCAGTTCCGCCCCGTCTCGCTGACGTGGAACCACCCGTGGCGCACGGGCGGCGCCCGCGACGGGGGCATCTGCCGCTGCGTAACATGAGGAGCGCTCCCCGTCAGAAGAGCAGCAGCAGACGGGATGGGAGCCCCGGAGTGCTTCCCTCACCTGGTAGGTGGCCGACGCCACGGTGGCGTCCGGGTAGACCATGGCGCTGATGACGGCGCCCGTGCCCGTGCCGAACCTGTTCTCTAGACGCGTGGGCTGCAGCCTGAAAGTGAGGGAGATCATGTCACTGGCCTGCGGACGCCAGGCGCGGCGGGCCGAGAGCTCGGGCAGGCTAGGCAGCATGCGCGCAGCTCTGTTGGGCGGGCGGCCCAGCCTCGGAACCACAGGCGCTTACCGGCCGGTTCGCCCGGGCCCGGGGACCATTGGGGTGGTGAAGAAGTCCGCGCCGCGGGCGGAGGCGGGGGCGGGCGTGGAGGCGGCCGGCCGACTGGGGGGCGGGCGAGGGGCGCGCCGGCGCTGGGGGGCGTATGGCGGGGGCGGGGCCGCGGAGCCCGCCGGCACGGCCAGCATCACGCCCTGCGGCGTGTGCGGGCCGCCCTGCTGCGGGGAGTACTGGAGCGGCGGCCTGGCGCGGGGCCTCGCTCGAGGAGTGAGGAACACCCCCGGGCTGCTGTAGGCATTGCTGTAGGGGACTGGAGATGGCGGTAAAGCACACGGAGCGGGAAGGCTCATAGGTCAGTGGCGTTGACTGGAGGGGCTAACTGACCTCCGGGGCGAGGGACGAGCGGTAAGTTGTAGCGCGGGACACGGGAGACGGGCGTGGACGGCGTTGACCAAGGCGAACTCGGGGCGTAGCCCGAGACCCCGGCAGAGGTCGGGGGCTCCTCGTAAGAGTCACTCTCATCGCCAAAGTGCAGCGTCCGCCGCACCGCGCTCCTGCCCGCGCGACTCCGGGCAGGCGTGCTGGCCCACGGCATGGCCCCCCGCGGCGTGCTGCACCGGGGGCCTCCCGGCGGCGCCCAGGCCCCCCAGGACGACGCCGGGCTCTGCCCTCGAGAGCTCGTCGAGCCGTCGAACTAATGAGGAACACGGCACGGTACACAGCCTGGTTTACAAGGTCTGCTCAACCCCAAGGGCCCCTGCCGAGTATCACCTGCGGCTGGCGCAGGTTGGAGTCGCTGAAGGCCCGGGTGATGGTGGGTTGCATCGTGCGCCGTGCCGTGGTGGCTGGCTTGAACAGGCTGCCGTCCGGGTCCTCGTACACCGGGGGCCGGCGGCGGCTCGCCCTCGGCGTCCGCGGCGGCGGCAGGCCGTAGTCCGAGTCGTAACGCAGGGAGGGCTCGCTGGGGCTGTACCCGCTCGACAGCCGGCTGTGCGTCAGCGAAACATGCCAGCACCGCCCCGGAGCACAACGCCCACCATCTCCCGCATTTACCTCTCCCTCTCCCCCTCGGATATGGTGGACGGGGCGCTACGCGACCGCGACAGGGAGTACTGGGAGTACCGATACGGCCACCCGCCGCCACCGAGGCTGCTCGCGCCGGTCTGCTCCGACGCTTCCGTCGAGCCGTACGTCTGCCCCAAGGAGTCCTGCCACGGGCCCGGACTTTGCCCCCGCCGCCCCATGGACTGGTAGCCGTACGAGTCGTACGTGCCGTCGTAGCTCTGGCCGTCCAGGAAGCCCCCGTGGCCGCCCCACGCCCCGCCGCCAAAGGGGCCGGCGGGGAAGGGCAGTGCGATGGCGGCCACGGGGGCGGCCCGCGCAGCCTGCTGGGGCCACGATGGCTGCGCCAACATGGAGGTGTCAGTGGTGAGCGTGAGGATGGGCTGACCGCCGCGACCGGGACGAGCGAGGTGCTCACCGGCCAGCCGCCGCTGCTGGCGGTGGAGGAGCTCTGGAAGGACTGCGGGTGCGGGTGCTGCGGCCTGCGCCCAGGGTCAAACCCAAAGGACGACCCGGCGTACGAGGTGTCCCAGCTGGGGGCCTGCGACCTCCTCATGGCGGCGGCCGGCTGGCTGCCAAGGGGAGGGACAGGAAGGGGTGACGGGGTGAAGATGACCTCGTTGGGGCAAAACTATGCTCCTTCTCACCGCCCACCTGGGCTCCGTGGGCGACGCCGGGCGGCTCGAGACGGCCGACCGGAGGTTCCTCGGCGAGCTCTCCCCTGGGACCACCACAGCCTCCCTGGAGGGCGTGCCGATGAGCAGGCGGACCTGCGAGCGCGGCGTGGACGCGGATCCAGACTGTTGGGGCGTTCCGGGGGTCGTCCTTGCAGAGCGGCCGGCAGCCGGTGACCCGAACGCGGGAGACACTCCCTCGCCCTCGCTGGCGACGACTCCAAAAACGTCCGAGATGTCGTGGGGGCCCGGGTCACGGTAACCGAAGTCCTCGCCGAAGCTGTAGTGGTGCGCGGCCGGTGAGAAGGGGTTGGACGCGGCTACCGGCTCAGACCAGGGGTCCTCCGTCGACGTGCCTCCCAGCCCAGCGGCACCTGGGGGGCACGACCAGACATTGCCTTTGCAGGGGGTGCCAGCCGTACAACCGTTGGGGCTCCGCACGTGTGGCTCCTAGTCAGTCTCGGCACTTCCTGCCTCCCTCACTTCATTCATCCACATCTCTCTCCACGTCAACCTGTTGCCGCACACTGCGGCGCCGCGCTGGCGTCCGCCCCCACCCCCTCCGCGCCCGCGCGGGGACGCGCCCCTGAGCGTCGGGCATCGCGGCGGCTGGGCGGCGAGGTCCGCGAGGCTTGTTCAAGTGGCCATGATCACTGAGAATTTAAGAGCTTTTGCTTCATGTTGTGGTGCGGGGTTGGGCCGGTGCCGCCCCGGAGGGAAGAAAGGGAGGTCATTATTGCGAGGCCTGACAATGCCACCGAGCCATGACCGACGACCGTTTGGCCGCCGCTAAGCGTCCCATATCTCATCATCCCCCACCCCTCCCCCCTTGCTTGCTGTGCATAAGACTGCCATACATGGACTGGGTGGCTACCCAACTCTGCGATGACCTGCTCAGCGGGGCGCCACTGATGCTTGGGGGAGCTGCCGCGGCCCAGCACCACGGCGTGTGCACCGCTCAGCCCGCCCCACTCGTCCTCCACCCACACTGCGGCCTCGTCTACGGTCGTCCCCGGGCCGAAGTCTGAGAACGCGTCGTCGCGGGGCTCGGGACTCGCCTCCTGCCACAGCCCGCTGTCCGGCCTGTGTTCAACGGGGAGATGGGGAAGGGGTTGGGGTAGGGGTGTCAACCGTATTTTGCAGTCGCGAAATAGTCACATGTTGTTGTGGTTGTTCCGCCCACCACATACTTCTCTGCGGAAGGCAAAGATAGGAATCCAGGGTTGGCTATGAGCCAGTCGAGCCCTTCGCCCTCGTGGGAGGACAGCCAGGGAACGGAGCCGGACCCGGAACGCGGCCCCGAGCCCTGCGCCCCGGAACTTCCGGGCCCACCCGAAGGCTCCTCGGGCACCACGATCTGTGAAGCCGGGCGGAGGGTTAAAGCTGTTTTCGTCACGTGAGCGACGTCGCGTGACATTGGCACGTTTAGCATCGTTTCCCACCCGGGGTTGTGGCGGGGTGTCTGAGGCGCCGACCCACTGCGACAACGGCTCCGAAGAGAAGGCGAGGTAGAAATGGCAGTCATCGCCGGTGTCCTTGCCCTCCTGGACGGCCAGGTACTGGGTGCCACCCGCGGACACCTCCAGCCGAACGGGCTGCCGATCCGTTTGGTCATCCGCATCTCCCGGGCTCGGGGCATCGGGCTTGTCGGCCTCCGAGACGCCACCGTCGGCCTGCTCCTGGTCGGTTGAGGCCCTCCTGGCCTCGGTAGCGGCCTGGGGCTCCCCCGCACTGCGCTGGCGTTCGCGCTCTCCCAGGGCGTGCGCCGTCCGCGTCAGCCACGCCACCTGCGAGTGCGCGCCGTCGTGGAAGTGCTCGCATTGAGGGTGTGTGTGCATGGGCTGGAGGGGGCCTTACGGTGTGCTCCTCGGGCAGAGGGCGAAGGGCGGCCGAGGGCGGCGGCCTGGCGAACACGCCCAGCAGGCGGCCCAGCGCGCAGCACACCAGCAGCTGCCGCAGGTACTCGTCGTGCACGCCGGCGCGCGCCGCACCCGCCGTCAGCAGCAGCGACCATTGCGCGGCGGTGGCCCTGTCTGCAGCGCGGAAGCTTTAGAGGCGACTCGCACTCGCCACGGAGACCGGCGGCGGGGACTTCCCCGTCGTGGCGCCGAGGTGCTGCTGACCTCGCTCGGAAGGGAGCGCGGTGACGAGCGGCTGCAGGAATCTCGCGTAAAAGTTGATCTCGTCCTCGACGCCCGCGAACGCCGGCGGGGCCTCTTCCGTGGCCTTGCGCCGCCCCTTGTCGCGCGACGCCGAGGAGGCGCTGGACCTCCGGCTCACGGCGTCCATGCCATCCGGCTGCGGTTGCGGGGCTCGCCGCCGACCCAGGAGCCTACAGGACCTTGCGGAGCGAGTCCTGGGCGCCCCTCACGGACCGCACCCTTCCGCGGGGAAACGTTTCCCCGGCGATCGCGGGCTGGGGCACAGTCCGCATTGTTTGAGCCCTTTTGGATAAACGGGGAAAACTAGGTGGCCGACCGGAAATCTTCGGGCTGCAGCTTTAGTTGGGGCCTTACTTCCCATTTTTCAAAATTAGTATATTTTTTTTTTAAGCATTCACCCGAAATAGGGAAAGAGAGAGATGGTAATTTGGTCGGGAAAATTGTCAGATATATGGCGTAACAGCTCTGAGCGGCGGGGGTGTGTGGTTCCCGCCCGGTTTGCGTACCGTACTTTTGTGCTCGGTGAACCGTACGCGAGGCGCGCAACCTGATTGGTCGGTGATTTGAATGAGCTTGGGAAATCTGCCGGTAGAGCGAGACTCACAACATGTCTCATGGAAGAGCAAGACTGCGCCAAGTCGTTACTGTTTGTTTTTGTTGACATTTAAAAAGTCTTTACCTAATCTGTGATTTGATGTGTTTAAATTGTTCTCGTTGCGTTTTTCTCTTGCAATACGTGTTAATGGTTACAAACAATGACTAGCGTGCTTATTTTTCTCAACGTCTTGTGTGTGGACTGCAAGCTTTTCTACTCTCAAGGGACTGCCGAAATTCCAAAGGTAAGTCAGTTCTTTACCAAAACTTGTTACAAGTTCTTTGTTCTCCTATCTGATATCTTATGATAGAGTTTCTCCGCAATTCAATGAACATATTTGAGCTGACATCCTAAAATATTTCATTAGAACTGCCGAGTAAGGTTTATTTTTGTCTCACCTTGGCTATCTTACATTGTTGTCAAAGCAACCGGTTAAATTTTAAAGAATACTCCTTAAGTAATTTCTTTTGCAATCTTAATGGTTTTGACACAACATTCTTTACCGTTTATCTCACGTTCGCTTCTGGGTCTCTTAAGTTTGTGATTTAGGTTAACCTATTGGAGGTTATGTTCCTCTTGAACTGCTCCTTGCTTTCTTTATCCATTGAGATATACCCAAACTTTCCCACATTTATCCTAAATTAATGAAGTAAAACATTATTTTCTCTTCAATTTCTTTTTCTGTGGCGGTGTTAAAGATTGCTTTGTCATTTATACTAATGTAAACATAACCTGTGGTATTGGAACCTATCATTGTTCATAAGGTCAAACACCTATGTGTTCATTTCATTCATACTCAGTTCGTTGTACATTGAACCCATTTAAGTTCGAAAACAATATTTACCCTTTGGTTATATGTCTTGTCGCTAGTGACAGTCATTGAAACTGGAATCAGAAGTACATGTTTGTCAAAAACTTTTAAGGTATGTTTTGTTCAAAAGAAATTCTCCCAGACTGAACGGAGATTGCTTGAGAATGCTCGTAAGAGGAGGTTCAACAAAACATTGTAAATCGTCATTCATTTAGAGTACTGTAAGAGACGTCTTGTTATGCCGCACAGATGTCTTGGTAAAATTAAATTCACCTCGTTGACTAGATTCAGCGTTTAATCATATTTGAATGAATTTGCTCGTAATTCTGCTCTTCTGTCTCAATTTACCATCAATGCCATCTTCGCAGATGCACTGAGAATGTATTACACCTGTACACCTGAATTACACCTTTGGTTTTACCAAGGTTTGCCATTTATTCGAACCTCTACTAGAGAGAACGGAAATGAAAAGAAGTGCCCATGAAGCTCTACCTCCCCTGTGTCAGTTCCTGAACTTTGGGTGGGCGAGATTCAAAAGTATATAGGGTAGGCCCTGCTTTTTGGAAAATGTTGACTTTCTTTGGGGACTTGGCGTGGCGTGAGCTGCTACCCCCGCCCCCTTTCCCCCTCCACTTCTCCCCCCTTTACCCCTTCTCTTCCCTCCTTTCCCCTTCCCCACCAGGCTACACGCACGTCTCTCGAGGTGGGCGGGGCGTGGTGGCGCGGCGGGCAGCATGTCATGGGCGGCGCTCCTGACACCCGGGCGCGCCACGCCACGCCATCGCATTACGCGCTAACGCCATGAGGAATGCGGCCAGGAGTCGCGAGGGGGGGGGGGTTGGAATGGTCGAATTGCCTGCTTGTTTATTGTGACTTGGAGGTGTACACACCTTGCTAGCCCGCGAGGGGGGGGGGGAGAGGCGGGAGGAGGAGGATGCCCGGCGGCGGTGCGCGGGCCGCCCCGCTCTCGGGTTTCGGATGTGGTCAGATCTGATATGTTCCGCTCCGACTGCTGCTGCCGCTGCGGCTCTCATCCCGGTCCATCTCGGTCCTGGACGGCGACACAGTGTAGTGTATAGGTCCTTCGCTCTCCCCGACCGGATGAGCGTCCGCCCACCCCGCCGCCGCCGCCACCTCGCACCTCCTCCGCCTCCGCGGGAGCGGGAAAGAGGCCTCCATTTCGGAAACTCTCACCGAGTCTGTCCCTGTCGCACTGGCGCGGTCTATGGCTGGCTCTCATGGGTGCGAAGAAGAGCCATTGGTCCCGGCTCACCGACCGTTGGGTCATATCCGCTTAGCTGGGCTAAATCCTCGCATTGAATTGGGGGACTACATACGTGCAATGCTGCTGCAGCGCGGTTTGCAGTGGTGCTGGTTCGCCTTCCATTGAGGGGGTGGTGGTGGTGGTGGGGAGTAGATCCGCTTTACACCTCGTGCTTGCAAGACGCACCCCACCCCACCCC